GTGTGGATACCAGTGGACTTTGTGTATTTCACAATGTAGATGTAGTTGAGGCGGATGTAAGCGCAAATGATCAACTTGTGGAGCGAACATGTGAGGAGTCAACCTCTGATCTACCATATTTCTTTCAAAATGCAGCAGGAGTAGAAGATCCTTGAGATACACAGCTTGAGCATCCAACAGTTGAAAATGAAATAGCTGGTTTTCCTGAACCATCAACCTTTGAGAGTGCAACTTTTGATGAATCATCCACATTTGAGGTTGCAACAGGAGTGGAAGATCCTGGAAATACACAGTTTGAGCAACACACTATTGATAAACCATCAATATTTGACTGTGGTACAGGAGTAAAAGATGTTGAAAATGTTGGGCCTTCTAATACACATGTTGACCCTTCTGTTGTAGAAGATATTAATGCTCAGAGTATTGGCATTGAGTCTCCTGGTGGTAAGTTAGAAGTGGAAGAGGATAATGAGATTGGTCTAGAAATGGAAGATGATAACCAAAATGAAGACACATTTTTCAGATTGAGTGATGGATTTGATTTAGGGGTGGGGGAATGCAGGTAATAACTAATCTCGTGAGCAGAATGAAAATGTAGAGAATAGTGGTAAAGACTACGGGACACAGATGACCTGAGAAGCATTTCAAGTGGTGATGAAGCAGGTGCCACAACTAACAATAGAAATGAAGTTTGGTTCAACCCCGCAACTGATGTGGAGGGCCCCAAATTGAAGATTTGTAAGCGAATTACAGAATGTTTATTATTTTAGGGGCTTACGAACAAAATTTTGTAATAGGTTTGGGGCTTCTTCTACTTATTTTTAATAGGTTTAGGGCCTGTTGTGTATTTCATAATAATATGTTTAAAAGGTTTTCATGTGCTTTATAGGTATGAGGTTTGAGAATTCAAAAATTTGAGATCAGTTATTGTGTAATACTCCGTGAAGATTGCAAGAGAACTTACCCAAAAATAGTCGGACGACAACCTAAGATTCAACACTTTAGAGATGAACATAGCTGCATATTGGTCTGGCAAAACAGTAAGGTCCATGCAGGTTTTCTGGCCAAGAAATACCTACGTAAGTTCAGGTCGGATCCTAATTTATCTATGAGTAGCTTCATCAAAATTGTGAAACAAGATTGCATGTATGAAATATCCAAATATCAGTTTTATAGAATAATGGCAAACAATGTAGCATTTGTGAATGGACTTGTTAATGAACTGTACAAAATTCTATGGGACTATGGTGAGGAGTTGAAGAGAACTAACCCTAGAACTACAGTGCAGGTTGATGGAACATGAGGTGTGTTTAAAAACATATATGTATGCTTAGAGGCTTGTAAAGAAGGTTTCAAGACTGGTTGTAGGCCTATGATAGGACTTGATGGATTTTTTTGAGGAGTGCACATGGGAGGGGGGGTCAGTTATTGGCGGCAGTGGGGATTGATGGTGATAATTGTATGTTCTCAGTTGCTTGGGCAGTTGGGGATGCAGAGAACATAGCTAATTGGACTTGGTTCATAAAACTTTTGGCATTTGATATATGAATGTGGGGATTAATGGTGATAATTATATGTTCCCAATTGCTTGGGCAGTTGTGGATGTAGAGAACAGAGCCAATTGTACTTGGTTCATAAAACTTTTGGCATTTGAAATAGGAATGTGTAATAGTAGGGTTTGAACTTTCATTTCTGATAAGTAAAAATGATTGGTTGAAGCCCTGAATCAGTACTGTAAAGGTGCAGATCATAGGTGCTGTGCTCGACATTTGTATAGTAATTTCACTCTCAAACATAGAAGCCTAACATTGAAGAGTTTGTTCTGGGTTGCAGTCAAGTCTTCTATTGTACGAGAATGGAATGCAGTTATGAATAAGATGAAGACAGTTAATGAAGAAGCCTTCAATTGGTTTAGTGAGAAGCCAACATCTCAATGGACAAGATCTCATTTTCAGGAACATGCTAAGTGCGATATCTTGTTGAATAACATCTGTGAAGCCTTCAATGCCTTCATTGTAGTAACTAGAAAGAAGTTTATAATCACAATGTTGGATAAGATTAGACATCAACAAATGACATGGATGAATGCAAAGAGGAAAGCAGTTTAAAGGTGGGATTATGCATATGGTCTAAAAATTATAGGGATAATTGAGAAGGTTAGATGTCGGTTCATGAGGGCAGATTACGCAGGTAATAAAAAGTTTGAAGTTCGTAACACTGATGGTTTGAGGTGGATTGTCAATTTGTTGAACAATGAATGTGCATGTAAGAAATGACAATTGAGTGGAATTCCCTGTACACATGCCATTTCTAGTATGCTATCAAGGAAAATATATATAAATGAATTTGTAGATGAATATTACAAGAAGGAGAATATCTAAGAGCATACAGTCATGTGATTCATCCAATGTCAGGGCCTGAACTTTGGCCCGATTTGGGGAATTCATTGAAGCCACCTGTGAAGAAGCAGGCAAGGAGACCTAAAAAGCTAAGGAAAAGATCTCTGTCTGAACCACCAACTGGAGTTAAAATGACAAGAACATGCATGAAAATGACATATAAGAGGTGTGGAAAAGTTGGACACAATAAGAGAACATGCACTGCACAGATACAGTCTCCTGAAGCACCATAGACACAAAAGCATAAGGGAAAGATAAGTGTAGCCACCTCAACATGAAACAACCTCAAAAAGAAAAAGTCCAAAGCAGCGTAGTCTTGATGTCGTTGGAAACCGAACTTGTGCATATGAAATATGAACTTAGAATGTAATTGATGTTTTTGAATATGTAATTCTGGTATTTCATTTTGATTATACTATTTATTAGTTATGTGATATATTGAATTTCATAATTTTATGTGTGACAACATTATATACACATTTTGAGGTGCATGTGTAATGGAAACTGTTATCAAAGTTATGGGGTGTTTTTTGTAATTAGTTTAATAGGTATGGGGCTTTTTGTGCAATTTTTAAAAACGCATGGGGCCTTTAACTCAACATGAACAAAATGTTTGGGGTTTTTACTGTACTATGTACTTAAAGTTTGGGGTCTCAACCGCGTACTTATTTTTACGAAAATTAATTGCAAAAAATGGACATGTACAGAACACTACAGTAATTAGAACTGCATTTTACACCCATTAATTTAGGTAATACTATTACCAAAGGAAGATTACAGATCCAACAAAAAACCCTAAAAACGCAACACCGATTTAATTACAAATCCACTTTATAATCATCCCACAAACAAATCCACAAAACCAAATCTTCCATACACCACCTCTATTCTAACGGAGTTACCTAATTTCAGCTTACATGTCTCCGCTCGACCGTAGAAAACTAGGTATCAACTCCCTTGATCTCTGACATATCGGGGGATCCTACCAAAGAAGGAATGTACAATCTTGCAGATTCATTCCGCGTAGACATGTAATAAATCGTTTGCCTGTGTTCAAATTAGTCAACGATGTCTTCATCTAAGCATGGGTTCCGCAACTGCAAACTGACATCTCTATTTCTTCTACCTTCAATTCAGTATGCTGATGAAAAGTAAGAAACTGACAATTTATTAGGGTAGTACTCTACTACATTTGGAGGGAAATAAAGAGTAACTTATTTGGAGATTATTGTTTAAAGTGTATGGACAAATTTACCCTTCCCTATTTTGGTAAAAAAATTGTCAATCTTTTTTAGGTGGTCAACTGACGGACGTTTGGATGGAAACTGTCCAAAGTGCCTTCTCTGATACGTTTGGAAATATTAGGGGTGACGATTGCAACAAATTAAATATTCGGGAAAAGTTTGCTAGTGTTTGAAAAGTTTGGGACTTTTGTTGCAATTATTCCAATGCAATTGTGTTTATATGATTTTGTAGATTAGCATATTAATTTTTTTTTTTAATTCCCACAAAATTTTAAATGAACATGAATTCTTTAGTGTCCCTTCATTTGATTCATTGTTATATTTGCTAGGAAGCATAGAAATAAAATTGTTGTTAATAAATGAGGTCATGAATTTTGATCTACAATTTATTTTTTTGACTGCTTGTACAATATTTAGACTTTTAATTATTAAATTTAAACTTGACTAAAAATCAACATTACAACTGGACTCATCACTAATCCTTCATCTCTATTTGCGAGGATCGTGACTCAATCCAAAAGTAGGACTTCTCTCAAGAAGCAACTTAAGATCACAAAAACTTGTCAAATAGTAAAATCAATTCATGAGTTATGTCCGTCATACTACTCATACCTTTAGTTCCCGGTTTGGTGGGAATTAAATATTTTTTTATAAAAATTGATGAAATATGTTATTAAAAAGTTACGAAACGAAGATATATGATTAAAAATTAATTAATTATTTTGTTTGAAATAGGTCAATGGTAATAAAAAGGGCGGTGTTTTTCAGTGGACGGAAAATTCAGTGAAAAAAGATTAGAGTAGAAGCAACGGAAGTCGAAAGAAGAAGCCGTGTGGGACCCAATTACTAAAGCACAGACCAACCAGGATGCTTCTACACATATTTCAAATCTTTATCTGCCCTCTTATATATCCACATCCATTGCCTTTCCCCTTCATTTCTAATAAGCCTTTACTTATTCTGCTTTTATTCCAAATCTTAATATAAATATCCCAACTTGATTTAAACTTTGATTTCCCACAAGGCACCTTTTAATATAATTCTATTTGAGTTTTGGGATGGATTATTCTGCCATTCAGTTTCTTCTTCTTTTCTGTTCTTGGTAGATTGTTGAATTTGGGATTTTTGTTGTGTTTCTCATGAATCTAAAATCTGGAATTCGAAGTTTTATCAAGATTTTCAATTGGGTTTCTGTTATTTCTTTTTTTTTTTTAATTAATTGGATTTCTTTCTCTACTTCTTGAAATTGGTAATCCATCCCAAAGTCTCCATTTTTTGGTTTTAGTACTTCTGGGTTTCAACTTTCAAACGGGAAGAATTTTGTTTCGTTTACGTTTGATTTCACGATTTGCGTAAAATGGAAGGAGGTAAGAAAAGTGGGAAATCAAAGATGGCTGTTGAAGAATCAAGTCAGATGGATCGGGGGAGAGATGAAAGCAAAGGATCTGATTCAAAGCATCATTGGAAGCCTGTTTTTAGTGAAGCTTCCATGTCCAAAAGGCCCCTCAAGAAAATCAAAAGTCCCGAACGAAGACGATTCCTTTTGCAATCATCTACTTCCTTACATCAGCAAACACTGCAGCCTTCTTCGTCTCATCCCTCTGCTTCTTCTTACAGTAGTAATGCTCCAGTCACATTTCCGCCTCCATCTTCGAGGCTTGTTTTTCCATTTGCCATTGATAATTCTCAACCTCCAGCAGTGACGAATTCAATATTTCTCCCTCCACACCGAAATCAGCAACAGCAAATGATCTCATTTGCGCCAGAGCAGCAGCAAAATTTTGGGTTCCCACCATATTTTGCAGGTGAAGTAGCAGCATCACAGCTTCAACAGCAGCAGCAGCAATTGTTGCAGTACTGGAGTGATACATTGAATTTAAGTCCTAGAGGAAGGATGATGATGATGAACAGGTTGGGGCAGGATAGCAGGGCTTTGTTTAGGCCTCCGATTGCACCTCTTACTACTACGAAGCTTTACAGAGGAGTGAGGCAGAGACATTGGGGTAAGTGGGTAGCTGAGATTCGCCTTCCACGAAACCGAACTCGACTCTGGCTTGGCACCTTTGACACGGCCGAGGATGCCGCCTTGGCCTATGATCGCGAGGCCTTTAAGCTTAGAGGAGAGAGTGCCAAGCTCAACTTTCCCGAACTCTTTCTTGGAAAAGATAGAGAACCGGAGACAGATCCTAGTTCAACGCCTTCATCCCCTTCAACATCCCGTGTTATTGTAGCATCAAGTGGGCAGATTTCTCAGACTCCACAAGCACTGGAAAACCTTAATTTGCCGGCTTTTGATGAATTGCCACAACCACCACCTGATGATGACAATAATCTTGATGAGAACTTGGGATTGCCATCGAGTGTAGTGACTGACAATGATCAAGTTGATCAATCCAATGTGGGAAGCTATAGTGGTTCACAGTCTAGTGAATTGGTATGGGGAGATATGGCTGAGGCTTGGTTCAATACCATACCAGCTGGTTGGGGTCCAGGAAGTCCAGTTTGGGATGATTTCGATACAAACAACAATCTTTTATTGCCTCCTAATCTTCCTTTTGCGAATGTCGAGCAACAGGACTCACATAATACTTATCCTCAGAACCAACAGGACGCTAAGGGTTCATCTTCCTCTTCTTCATCTTCATGTCCCGTGAGACCTTTCTTTTGGAAAGATCAAGACTAAAATCATCGCTTAGAGGATGCATTAGGTTCAAATTCATCATCATTTCTCTCTAAAACACACGCCAACATGAATAGTCGTTCCCAGTTTATCTTTTTTAGCACGAGAGCAGATGTTCTTAGACGATCCCCTTGGATATTCCGCGCCCCCTTTGACCATCTGCTCATTCATCTCTCTCTCTCTCTCACACACACACACACACATATTATGACCTTACCCACTGGTTGGACATTTTTCACAAAACAACCTGTGAGTTTCTTTGAAGAACTTCGTTGTTTTTTTCCATCCACTGCCGAAGCCTGCATATTTTTTGGCTTTTCGCAGTTGCTATCATTTCTTCTTCATGAATTTAGATCATTTTATTCTGCATAGTAATGTGGAGTGTCACTATATTTATTTAGCATACACATATCATTGGTCGAAGAGAAGGAGACGGTTTTGTGATCCCCTTCGCAACGACTACACACACCATCAGATCTTATTTTTCTTGATCTGATTGTAGGGAAATTTCGCTGCTTTTGTACATTTTGGTGTTTGTTACATTTCGTAGTTTTTGCAATTTCTTTGTCTTGTGGATTACTCTTGTACTTTTACTTATGGTTTCTTACTAGTACTGTTTGCAGTTTGTAATATTTTTACATGCTCAAAAATCCTTGTTATAATTGCCAAAAATATAAAACTGTACATAGGCCAAAACAATAATCACTTTTTAATATCGTCACTAGAGGTTACAAATTACAATCCCAATCGAGAATGTCGATCGTACAAATTCACATAAAAATTCATGTATTGTGTTTATCAAAAATTGACAACACTAGGAGGAAATATGCCTGTGTAGATGAATCTTCTAAAAGAATGCAAACAGGATCATCTTTCATTTTTGGGTAAATTTCATTTATGGTAGTTTAGCGAAATCTCAATTTCCTTACTAAGCATTAATTTGTTTCAACTAGGTCATTAAACTTCCATTTAGTCTCAAATTTCGCCACCTATTGTCTTCCATACAGGAAAAAGAAAAAAAAAAAATACTTAGTTGACAATTATATCGTACTAATCTTGCACGTAATCACTACTTGGCACCTTAGAAAAGAAAATGGTATAATGAAAGTCGTGGTAATGTCTTTATTAAAATGCATATTTTTTGAATAGTTTTGTGACGTTGCATCGTAACAAGATAGCATGGCCTGTAGCTATGTATGGAAGAAGGTAGCTTGATTAAGTTTAATGAAATTGGGAGATGATTGATCACATAGTAGTGAAATTTAAAATTAAAATCAAGAGTGTTTGATGCACATTTTTTATGAGAGAATTCATTTTTTGATGTGATGGAGAATATATAGTTGAAAAAGAAGAAAAAAATTATTAATACGATAGAATTATTGAAGAACGTGTGGTGAAAATGAGTATAAGAACGAAATTTACCCTTTACTTTCTAAATTCACCACCTAATGAGAATTTTAAATGAAATTGTACGCGGTTTGAGGTTGTTAACATAAAATTTCCACTTAACTTGGAATATAGTTAATACCGAGATTAGAGTTGGAGAATATTGATAATACAATATCATAACTTAAAAAATTACTTGTGAAAGAATAAATTAAGAAGAATGCGCATGCTTTTCTTAAATTATATTATATTTATTTTTGATAATCCTATGAGTAAGTACTAACAAAACGTGGGTGTGCAAAAAGTGGGGTCAGCAGCCGGCCCATGAGATCACCCTTAATTTCTTTATTGCGCCGTCATGGGATCATGATTAAGAAAATGATATGTTTAAAAACTATTCAACTACTAAACAAATTGAAAATATCTAATGTTGTGGTGAGATAGCTATGGATAAAAAGTCATTGGTCCATTCTTCAACCTAATCATGCCCAACTTTGATGTCATGGTGTGGCAATGTTGCTATTTTTCTTTCCCTAAATAATTCATTTCATACGTTGTGGGAAATAAACAAGTTGAGATGTGCTGAACCCTATTGACTCTCTCAATTCTTGACATTTCAACACTTCAATTCTTGATAAGGTTGAATTCAGCGGGAACATAGATATTTTGAGTTTTACAAGTTGTGAGAAATTTTACATTCGAGAATTTACACAAAAAAAATTAATCATATCCCATGTAAATTTACATCCGAATCCCAAAAATCAATACATATAACTTTCATAATTTATATCGAGAAATTTTTCATAACCCATGTAAAATTTCCTAATAACATGATGTAAATTATATTGAGAAATTTTTCGCGAAAAAATAATAAATATTAATGAAATAATTGAAATTTTTTAAAGAAAAAACGAATTAGACGCATCTTTTTAAGATTCACGTTTGATGGACCTTTAATTATTTTCGATATCTATTTGGACCATTCAATATGTTCTGATGTAGTTCTCGAAACGAGTTTCGAGATGACATAAACAATTTGTGAATTAGGCCAGCTACGATCGTCGGATAATTTTTAAAGTTAGCATATTATCCAAATTTTTAAACTACTAGTTTGGAATGGCCTGCTTTTATAAGCCATAACATTTGTTACAGTTACTGTTTCGTGTGCCATTAACGACGTAGAAAATTAGACCGTAAGCATTTCGAAATAACATTAAGAATGTAATATTTTGACTTCGTTTGATATCCCGTAATGATTTTGAAAATTGAGATAGAAACATAAAAATTTAGTTGTTGTAAAAAAAATAAAGAATTTGCCCAAAAGATGGGGGGTCACGTGATCCCATGCCACCCCTTGTGTTCTCCCTTGGTGGATTTGTTGAGAAGATGTAGCATTTGTTAAATGATAAGTGTATTTTATACATTTATCCGTACAATTAAATTAGAGCAATTATTGTTATTTTAAATGAATTGAGACTTAATTTTGTATATATTTTGTTTGTTAGGTGCATCTCAATGAAAAATGGAAATGAACAAAATGAGCAGAAAATTGGTTAAAGTGGACTTAATCCAAAGTTTGGATACTTAATCACAAAATGGTAATAGTTGATTCAGACATAGTATCGATGATTGGAGAGAGGATGGAGTCAATTAGATGGATTTGGAAAATGGAGGATCAAGAAGATACGAAAAAGGGACCAAAATAACTAAAGAATGAAACATAGGGACCAAAGTGTAACAAATAGGAAATTGTATAAAGGTGCGCGCATGCTAATTCTCTCGTGTCCACGGCGGTGGCATGAATTTCATATACTGAGAGAAAAAGTAATGAACGGGGCGCTCGCAATGAACTACACGGTGAGCGCGCGAGGGTAATTTCTGGGCCGAACTACCCAACTTCTAGTTGGATCCAAATTTTTATGGAAATAAAATTCAACCTACTATTTAAGTTGGGGGCCGGCGTGAACAAGAAACAACATATCAAATCCTACTTTTCACGTTAGAAGAAGATTCAAAGGTAATTGACACACTAGATTGAAAATTCAAAGCCCGAGTTGAAGATTAACGAAGAAGAAATTGATTTTTCACTTTTTATTCATTGTTTTTTTATTTCGGGAAATGTTTTTCAAAATTCTTTTGTGTAATTTACATAACAATATGTTAGGCTAATTTTTTATGTATTGGATGAAGATGAAACATTTTATTATTTATTTTTAACTTAAGACAAGTACTAAGTTAAATTCTTGCTTTTCTTGATGAATCTTCCATGCATAATTTTATTATTTGATTGTTTGATCACCATTTAAATATATAGTTGCTTGTTGTAGTGCTGTTAGGTCTAAAACATTACTTGATTAACATACGTGCAATAGATATTAGGAATAATGTTTATCACGTGTGCAATCTTTGAGATAATTGTGAAATTGAATGCATTTTATTCATTAGATATCGGACTAGGAATAAATTCGGGTTGTGACTAGAATAAATTTAATTTTTCTTGGAAAATATAATTAATTACAATAGAATTATCGAATGTCAAGAATGCATGAATGATACTAGCTACGTAATTGAGGGTTGAAATAAATAATAATAGGTGGATTTGTAATCCAATACACTCATTCCATATAAATACAAAACTCAAATTTTACAAGCTTTCGTAGAATAAGGCCCGTGCATAAGGGCGAGCTTGTTGAGAAGAACTAGTATTGGCAGAACTGAGTGGAGACATAAGCGAGGCTTTGACATGACAAGACATTGATGGAACCATGACAAATGATTTGAAATGTTAACATCTTCTAAATAAACGAGGCGTTGCTTGTTTTCAATGTATGCGTTACGTGCACATTAAGCCCCCGTTTGGTACCCATTTTTTTCTCATTCTCATTCTCATTTTTTTTTTTCTCTTTTTTCATTTCAACCACACATTTCATCAATAAAATAATATTACACATAAGGTAACAAAAAAACACGACGGGACGGGGGTGAGAATGACCAACCCATCCCATACCCGTCACGTTGCCATCCCTAGGTGTAGATGTATAATGTTAGAATGAATGAATTTAATAAGAACAATATCGGAATGTGATGTGGATGAAAATAGTAATTTGTTTAAATTTCAATAGGGAGAGATATAGGTTATGATTGATATATAATAATGGCATATGTAAATAACGGCTCTTTTTTTATTGTTCAAGGTATTCAAATTATTTTCTTGGAGTTCTCTTTAATTGAACGAGAAGACCTCTAAGAAATAAGACTCATACTCAAAATATCGTACATGAAAGTAGAAAGAAGTTTTGTTAAGAAATAATCTTCTAAATTGACAAAGAAACTTTAAGGAAAGTCAATAAATCTTTAATTCCTTAAATTTTTATTCCCTAATGAAAACGCTAAGATCATAAGCAATCAATCATAATCTCAAAGTCTGATATATTAGAAATTCTGGACACTTCATCTAAGTTCAATGGTGAGTATGAAAGTATGAAATTATTAAGTCATTAATTCAACAATGAGTCCGAAATTGTGGATTGGTCGAGTCTCAAGTTCACTGATTAAAAAGTCATACAGTCCCATATTCCATAGAGTCGATTTTCTTTCTTTTTGCAGTAGAAATTTTC